TACACTCACACACATAATAAATAAAGTATGTGTGTGTGTGTGTGTGTGTGTGTCTGTATTAAAAAGATGTGAACCTATGTGCTCATTTGGCAGCAAAGTAGAAGAAATATAATCTGCCCTTGCACATCTATTTTACATCAACATTAACCCATTCGTGAGCACAGAGTTCTCATCATGCAGTCTTCTGGAAAAAGCCTCTTTTGTCAGACTTGTTGAAGTCTGAATTTTGGAGGAAAAAGTCCAACTTTGGCCTTTATCCCATAACCTAGCAATTTAACTTATAACATGTACCAAATGAAAAATGTGTCCACACACACACACACACACATATAAATATAAATAATATTACATTAAGTACCACAGATTAGAAATAACTCAAATGTCTATTCACCAGTGAATGGATATGACAGAATTTGGTACATTCTATAATGAAATGTTGTGTACAGAAATGAAATAGTAATGCATCATCCAAATGGATGAACCTTGATATTATTCTAACTAAACAAAGCCAGGCATAACCCACCACTTGTCATATAATCCTCTTTATAAGAAGTGTTTATATGTTAAGTAAATCTTTAGAGACAAACTTTAGACACACAGTTACCTAGGTATGTGACTTTTCTCATCACTATAACAGAATATCTGATAGAACAAATTAAGAAAGGAAGTATTTATTTTGACTCACAAAGTCACAGAATTTCAGACCATTGTGGGTGGGTAGGATGGTGGCTACATTGGCTTATTTTTGTCAGTTGGAGCACAAAGACCCCAAGAAAGGCTAATGACCACTAAGCAACTCTAGTGACCAGCCTGGTAGGGACCATGTCCCATAGGAACCACAACCCCTTAAAATACCACCATCAGGTAGAGATCAGGATTGAAAACACATGACCTTATAAGAGACAGTAAGCACTGAAACCCTAAGACTACATCTGAGGTTGGAGGCGAAGAGAATGGAATCAACTGCAGGTCAACACAGTTTCTTCTTCAGGGATTACATGTGTGATTACATGGTATGAATGTTGTATGGCTCTGAATCTATAATTAAAATTGGTAAGTTATGGGGAAAAGGGGGACATTTCAAATGAGGAAGTCATGGTGCAAGGATTAAACGGGGAGACAGAAGAAATAAATAATGCTTAGCTAGTGTAAAAACCAGAGGAAATCATATTTGTCCAACAACCTAATAACAAATTACACAAACAATATTTCTACATAAGTCCATGTGTATAGCTAAAGGCAACATAACAAGAAACAGTGCCAGACAGGAGAAACTTTCCCTTGAGTTGTTGGCCAGGGTGGTCCTGGAAACTCCCAAAATGTCACAGGCTATTGCCACAGTCTTGATTGCCCCCTAGAACTTAAAGGTAAGACTATTGCTGAATACAGGGCATACTTCAGACAGAATTTGGAGCGATAGAGCTGGAACTGACCTGGAAGCCACCTCCCCTGAAGCCTAGCTCTCATAGCTTTGGAGTGAACTATGCAAGGTGCTAAGGGAGAACATCAATTGATGGTCTAACAGGACATTGGTGCAGAAGTTTTATGGTCTCCTAATTATATTACAATAAGATTATTATAAAAAACAGTGAATTGATGCTAAAAGGAGCAATGTCCAGGAATTTGTGAGCCTAAAAAATACTCAACAACAAACACACACAGTTTTAGGCAGAGCAGATTAGGTCACACTGTAGCAACAAATAAGCCTAAAATCCAAGGTTCCATGTAACAGTGATGGAATTCTAACTAGGTACTTCTGTCCAATACAGGTTGTCTAGGGAAGTGAAGTTTCTTTCTACATGTTCACTCAAATGCTCAGGCTAAGAAAGACTATATCACATGAAACTGCTCCCTCTAGAACATGTAGCCTAGCTAGTTACCCTGGTAGAAAGAGTATATATATATACTATAACACACAAGATAACACACATACTGTGTCTCTTCACTGTAATTTGTGGAAATATTCATTGTCCTACTCCAACTTTATAGAATAATATGAGAATTAGATATATTATGTGAACACCACTATTTTTGTTTCACATGCTAAATAAATTTTAATTGTTGATAAAATAATGCTTACATTTATTGACTCTTGACTCTCGTCTATACTACCCAGCATTCTTAGCTTCATACATGTGTCATCTTGTACTGTCATTATGGTGCTCCTATAAGATATACAAAATATTAATGCTTTAAAATATTAAATCGGGGTCTGGCAGCATTGCTTAGTGGTTAAGAGCACTTGCTGATCTTGAGGAGGACTTGGGTTTGGTTCCCAGCACCCATTATGGTGGCTAACAACTGTTCGCAACTCTAGTTCCAGGAGATACAATGTCCTTTTCTGGCCCCCATGGGCATTGCACGCATGCGGTGCACTTAAATACATGCAGGAAAAAGTCATATACATAAATTATAAATAATAAATATTTTTCATTTAAATATATTAATTGAGAATTTCACACATGTATATAATGGCCTCTAGCCCCCATTTCCTCATGAAACTTTCAGCAGATCCTCCCCAACATGTCCCCCTCCCAAATTCATGTTATCATTTTATTTTTAAATAAATCATTAAGTACTACTGAGTCTGCCCATATGTGCATGGGTATGGGGCCATCCATTCAGTCCTTTTATTTCACAAATGTTACAATGAAACTTGCAGATAATTAAGTCAGATACTCAAGGGCACTGCTACAGCAGGAGCAGAATATGCAGGCAAACCCCACGACCACACAGCTCCAATTCATAGCTACATTTGACTACACTGACGAAAAAGAAAGAATTCTACTACAGGACTTGTAATCAGAGGTAACTGTAGACAAATAGGTTCATATCATTGATTTTAAAAAGAAGGAAGATCTTAACCTTATTGAACAACAAGATGATTTTAGTGAGAAGGATCATATTGTATATTTTTAATAACCAGAGTAAAAGGCTTTGAATGTTCTCATGACAAAAAGATAAATGTTCAACATAAGGTGTGTGCTAATGGACTTGATTAACATGACAATCAGTACATAATGCCTTTATGTATCAAAACATAACATTGCCCCTCCATAAATTAATACATATATACAGCTGTTATGTTGATAAATTTTCCAAGGAAATGAATGAGAAAAATCCCAGAACAGATTTGCAGTGATAAGGCAAGTGGTTTGTTTTATTTAAAAAAAAAAACTTGAAAGAAAAAAAATAATGCCCTAGAACCATGCTGAGACAAAGCTGAATGAGGGCCTAACCCTGAGATTCCAGCCGGAATTTTATTTTTCTTCCCTTGCTTGGCTCTAGCCCAACTTACCTGATGATTAGAGGCTCATTCTTCTAAGTGTTTAGTCCCCCAAGTCCTCATAGTCACTTTTCATCCAAATGCAAACACTTTACTGTCTCCATCCACCTCAGGTTGAAGGGCCAGTGTGGGAACATGAGCCTCCAGAGACATCCACATCCACACACTGCTTCCCTGGAGATCTTGGGAGATCTTGCAGGGCTTTCCATCTTTGTCTTGATATTAACAAGTGCACAAGCTACCGTTCTGTTCCATAGCCAAGATCCACATCTGTGAAAGGAAAGTCTCTTGCACAATGCTTCCCTGGAAATGGACATTGGATCAATACTCTGGACATGAAACTTTTCATGTTTCTTTTTGTTCCTAGGACAACAGTAAGTATTGAAATATGCGGTGGTTGCCACTTAGAATTGTAAGGACAATAGAATGTCTAATCATTTTTACTTTCCAGTGTTGTTAGCCATCTTCTCCTTATGGTTCACTGTTCTTTGAACCCTACGACCTGCTCTAGAGCATTCAGACTTCCATGTAAAGGATCATAAGATGCCTTTAAGAAATGGTTAGGGCAAAGGTTACACTGAAAAGAAAAAAAGAAAACTCCAAAGGAAGAACCTGTGAGGCAGGGGGCGAATTATATTCACCTCAACATTTCTTCCAAATAAAACCACATCATCTCCTACCTTGAAAAAGAAGGGTCTTTGGTGGCAAAAAATGAGCATGGCCCAACATTCTGGTATCAGAGATGTTTCTTGGGTAGAGAGGCCCTCTCATACTGTAACCCCAATAGCACAGTCATCTGTTATCTGAGCCACCATGAAGGTAAGAATAGCTAGATGTCCTGTCAAATATGGCTTGTTTGAGAGCACCAAGTCTCCAGGGACAAATGTGAGTCCTTTTCTTGTTTTTTCCTTCTCTCTCCAAACACAAATCGTAAGACATGGTTGGTGGTGGGAAAGCTGAAACATCAGACTATGTGAAAAAGAAAGATTGTGATATAAAAAGAAAGCAGGTACAGTTTTGCTTATCAATTTTTGAAAAAAAATATTCCTACTCTGAAACCTGCAAGTATACGTGAAGATATCACTAAGAATGTGCCCTCACAGAACATGTATATTCTTCTTGGTGCTAATATTTAAAGGTGAAGATACAACTAAGGGCTCTCATAAATTAGAAATAAAAATTGAGTATGCCTAGATCGTTTCTTTGGTCACTGTATGTCTTAAGGTTGTGGAGTATGTCGCACAGACATGAAATGCATTTGCCTGGCTTTGTCATAATCATATACCACAGCATGGTCACATGTCCTACATGGAGCTCTCTGTGGATTAAACATTATTGTGTAGACTAGATTAAAAATATTTTTAGATATTACAAGTAGTAACAATAGTAACAAGAGTAATACTATATGGTTTAGTGTAGTATAAAATATCCTATAAGAGCCAAATGGAATTGAGCCCCACAGTTATCATATGGACCACCTATAACAGCCACTGACAGCAGAAAAATACCAGTGTCCATCCATAACACTTACATATGGACAGAATGCCTGCACCCACCCAGAATGTTCTCCATAGTCTCCTACACTAGAGAAAGGAGGAACCATGAGCAAGAGACCCTGGACATACTATATATTTCATGTTGATATTCAGATAGCATAAGGTTTTCATTCCCTCATCTTGTCCTAGGTATCTGTCATGATCGCTCCCAACTGACTTTGATGGAGAATTTTTCAGAGGCAACTGAATTTATTCTTGTGGGGTTAACAGATGCCATTGAACTTCAAGTTCCTTTATTTATAGTCTTCACATTTGTTTATTTGATCACACTGGCTGGGAACCTTGGGATGATCTTGTTGATTCTGCTGGACTCACGACTCCACACTCCCATGTACTTTTTCCTCAGTAACCTCTCTCTGGTGGACTGTGTTTACTCCACAGCTGTCACACCTAAAGTAATGGAGGGATTTCTCACAGGAAATAAGATCATATCCTACAATGCCTGTGCTGCCCAGATGTTCTTCTTTGTAGCCTTTGTCGCTATTGAAAGTTTGATCCTGGCCTCAATGGCCTTTGACCGACATGCAGCAGTGTGTAAACCCCTGCATTACACCACCACCATGACAAGTACCACGTGCATCCTAATGGTCGCCTCCTGCTACATGTGCGGAATCTTGCAATCCTCTGTCCATATAGCCCTTGCATTCCAACTTTCTTACTGTCATTCCAGTGTGATCAATCACTTTTTCTGTGACATTCCCCCAGTGCTGGCTCTTTCTTGTAATGACACCTACACAAATGAGATTACACTCCTTATCTTGGCTACATTGGATGTTGCTTTCACTCTCTTGGTTATCTTGAACTCTTACTTGCTTATTTTCATTGCTATCCTGAGGATGCGTTCAGCTGAGGCACAGAGGAAAGCCTTCTCCACCTGCACATCCCACCTCATTACTGTCTCCATCTTCTTTGGGTCACTCATCTTCATGTACCTACAGCCCAGCTCCAGTCACTCCATGGACACTGACAAAATTGCTTCTGTGTTCTACACCATGGTCATCCCCATGCTGAACCCGCTGGTCTACAGCCTGAGGAACAAAGAGGTCAAAAATGCATTTAAAAAGGTTGTTGGGAAAGCAAATTCTTCACTGTTCTTAAGCCATTAATTTTGTTTTTTCAACATGTCAAACTTTCTCTGGACCTCCAACTTCAAAGAATGATTTACTTGTAATTGTTTCTTGTTTTTAATTTCTTTGGACAGTTTTTTATATGAAGACCTCTGTCTTCATGTGCTGGCAACATGACTAGTTTATAGTAGGTTTGAAGTATATTTTACCATAAAAGATGTCAATTCAATGTTTTAATCAATATTGTAATGCTAGATATATTCACATGTAATATTGCTTCATAAAGTTGGTTTCAACTGCTTTGCAGATAAACCTCATTCTTATATGAAAACACATATTTTAAATTCATAAATTTCATAATAAGTTCATGATATTTGTACATTGCATGAAGTCATTATTCTTGGACATTAATGCTCTGAAAGATAATCTTCAGAGGTTGTCAGAATACAGAATTCAAGGATACCATTCAAAATAACATTTTTGTATTTGTTTTGAAACAAATATTGTACTGTTTCTGAAACAGAAATCCATAGCATGATTATATGTCTATGTCTTCTTCAGTCTTAAGATTCAAATGTTGCATTTCAATAACCAGGGAAAGTATATTATTTAAATCTGTTTAATGCTGAATTCCAGAGATCAAAGTCAGACTGCAGCCAACAAACACTAGTTCAAGGGAAAAAGAATAAATTAGTGAACTTCATAACATATAGTCATGATTAGCAGAGTATGAATCCTCTGAAGTAGTATTTTTCTTAAAGAAAATATTTATTAGATGATAAGCTATTAAGTACATAAATAAAAAAGCATCATTCAATAATACCCACATATGTATCCCTTACGTGAGTTCTAGATACCATTTTACCCACATATAACAGCTATTTCACATCAAACTACTTCTAAAGGATTTTAGCAGAAATGTTAATGAATGTATAAAATGGGAAGTTTATTTCTGGATTAATTCTGGGAATTGGGGCCAACAGAAGGATGAAGGTGGTCAAAAGTTCTCCTCTTTGTTACTAAATACTGCTGAGTTAAACCAGGATACTGAACTCAAGAACAGTGGTTCTTTAAGGTGGGCTCCAAAGGGATAAATCAGTGTTGTTAATCATTCAAAAATGTTTGGGAAGAAAATGACAAGTATAAGGAAGGAGTTACATTAAATAAGACTGGAGCCGGTATCCAGTGGGAACTGTACTTTCTTCAGGAAGCTATTTGTTTCTCCATTAACCCTCTTATCATCTATCAGGTTTTGTCTTTATAGAAATTCTTAAATGCTTATTCTATGAAATAAATTAAAATTAATTAGTAGATGCATGAGTTAAAAATTATACAAGGGAGTGAATGAGTGAGATTTGGAAGCACAGCTGAGGTTGCTTGAATGCGTTTGCATCAAACTGGATCCCTAATGTCTGACCACAGAACTCAAGGGCTACTCGTTCTGTGTACATAAGGAAGGGACATCTCTGATATTATCCACAATACTCCATCTTTCTTTACAGCACAGAAGTGTAAATTTTAGTTTTTAATAAGCTAAACACAGTGCTTATCTCTCAGCATATATTGCAACCAAAACGCTGAAGTATTCTGGACTACTATGCAGAAGTCTCTTTCAACTGTCTGACACAATAATTAAGACAAAATAGTCCCTAACAATATGCACAACAGAAATATCTACTTCATAGAGTTGGCTTGACATTTACTAGGATAGTATGTTTAAAACACTTAGTATAATGCTTGATGTACTGCAAGAAAATAAATGTGAAATATATTTATTTTACCTTTAGTAGAAATAACAAAGAACTGGCCCATTCCCTATCATTGCCCTTTCCCTACTCCAGGACTGCCATAGTTTTCTTTCTACTTTATGTTGCTTGAGTTTTTTATATATCCACAGACAAATTCATGCCTGTCCACTTAAGGACACCTCCCTGGGGGGTGGGTGGGCATTTCTACATCTGGCTTTATTAATGTAAACAGCTTAGTCATATCTAACAGTCAGACCTGAGCTGTAGAATCATCTCTTCTCTGCTTGGGATTTCCAGGATGTGAGAATGGAAGCTTGCAGTGCTCATCTCAAGAACAGCACTGACTACAGACACAGAGAGTTCAGAAAAATTGATCCACTATTCTTACCATATAAAGATTATGTACCATTTGTTTCTAAACCACAGATCTGGACTTAGAAATAGATTCACAGGTATCATGGCCCAGAGATCCACAGTGGTGAGAGCTGAGCCTGGAATCCTTTGAGTGCCGTGGACTCCAGAACTGTTGAGCTCAGAAAGCAGCATCCTTGGAGGGAAAGCAAAGAAAAATTGTTCAGGCAGAACCAGGTTTGGCTCATGTGGTTCCTGGCTATGATGAAGACAAAATTAAATTTCTGAGTCCTGGGTTAGTTTGTCTCCTAACCAGTCTTTATGCCATTAGTAATGGAAAGACAGTGAGCTATTCACTTGGCAAAGTATCAGGACAAAAGCATCTGGGAAAGATTCTGACTTGCCAACATACTATCTATAAATATCAAAAATCTTACCCATTAAAATTACAAAACAAATTGCCAGAGATGGTTTATCTAATAAAGATGAAGCAATATAGAAACTAGAGAGATGGCTCAGTGGTTAAGAGCACTGACTGCTCTTGCAGAAGACCTGGGTTCAAATCCCAGCACCCACATGATGGCTAACAACCATCAGTAACTCCAATTCTAAGGTTTCTGACGCCCTCTCTGGCCATCCATGACAATTGCATTACATGGATGCACTTACATACATGCAGGCATAATATTCATACACATAAAGTAAAAATGATTAAAACCATTTTTTAAAAACAAATCAGTATGTACCAACAGGGATGATCTCTCCAGTAAATAGGAGCTCCTTAAGTATGGGAGAATCTCCAAAAAATTAGAAAACCCACACAGCCAATAGGAAATGAACACAGTATTCAAAGAGAAAATAAATCATGCCATAATATACAAATTTACAATAAGTATGATTAAAATATCTATAAATTATGAAGGTAATACACCTATAAAATTGGAGAAGTAAAAAAATAAAACTAAAGAACTATTAGTCAGCATTATAAATATGAAAGAAAACAAAAGTGTAAAGAGGGAAGTATTTATTATCAAAACTTATACATAAATGGGATAAAAATTGACATTACTGAAAATTTAGAATTAACATCATGATGTTAAATTTGGTAAAATATTCAAAATATTTCTTCATAAAGAAATATAGAAACATGAAAGACAGTTAAAGACAGCATCAACATAGATCTTAACTCTCCAATAAAGAAGCATGTGAAGTTTCAGAAAGAAATTCCACAAAACAGGAGAAAAATAAATATCAAAATTGAAAAATGGGTACATAAGTCCTCTACAGGAAAGACTCACCTCATTTCTCAGAGGGCTATATTTTTAAAATAAATATTTAATTATATTGTTAGGAACACAGAAAATTCAAGTAGAAGAAAATGTTTACAAGTACCTGAGAACACATGCAAATAATAATCATACTCATTAAAACAATACAAGTAGGCAGATAATAGAACAACTTCCTTTGTTAAGTTGACATTTATTTGTTCTTTGAAATTTCATACATGCATACAATGTATCTTGATCCTATCCACTCCTCTCCCTCCCTCCAACTCCCCTAACCCACAAGACATATCCTACCCTATTATGTGCTCTTTTTATTTTTTATATCTCACTGAGTCCATTTAGTTCTGCTTGTATGATGTGGGCACGGGGTCATCAAGCTGGAAGGTGCTATGTAGGGTGCTAGGGGAGAAAAATAACTTTCAAAGGGCTGAAGAAAACTAATTACCCAATCCAGATTTCCATACTCAGATAAACTAGCACTCTAATGTGATGTTAAATGAGGGTTAAATGAGGGTATGTGAACACCTGAAAGACAATTTACTATCCTCAGGGAATATAGTCCAGAGATTGAATTTTAAGTGTGAAAAGTATCAATGTATCTGACTGTGGAGTTCAAAAGAGAGAATAAAGTGTTCCTTGATTCACAGGCTGCCTTCTTATTTTTGAAAGGTTCCCTGTCATCAGCTGTACTCTCCTTGTGGTACTGATAATGGATGAACATGAGCTTCTGTGAAGGGAAGATTTACAAACTGGGAATATGCTCAATCAGGTTCTCTCAATAGCTATCATAAATGCAATGGTTTGAGCTCAGTTTACTTTAAAAGTAAAGACTAAGTAAAACAATTAGTATAGGAGTGAGACAGTAAGACAGGGAAGGAAAACAGCACAGGGCTGCATTACATAGTAGTTTATGTTTGTGGAGAACAGGGGCTGAAACTGGCTAGGTCTGTTGGAAACTGTACGGAACAGTCACCAGAGAAACACTATCTGAGAGATGTGGGATATTTGCAACCTCTATTTCAACTCAACTGTCATTTATTTATGGAAGTGCAAGGCTAATTAATTCCCCAGCAATTCAGTCCTCACCAACCCATGGATTGAGCATAGTTGTGCAGCCAATTTGCGCCCCCTTGTCAAGTGTTCAGACACTTCATCAATAGAAAATAACATTCCTAAGGACAGTGAGAGCATGGAGAGGTGAGGGGAACCAGTATTCATACAGTTTTGTCTTAATGTGATTAAAACGATAGTACACCTGGTTATAGAATCTGAATATGTATATTTTCACATTTAAAAGATATCACTTTGCTATCTGAAGATTGTATTCTAATGAGAAAAAGCAATGTTAGGCTGATTTCTATTATTATGCATGTTTCCATGTTTATTTTAGCACTTAATAGGTCCTTTGTTGTTTGTGCACTTTCATGATGACCCAGTCCAATACAGAAATTCTTTTTACTGATGGCTACACAGTGGAGACTTATTTTTATGTGCATTTTTGTTGATTTTTTTGTGTATTTAATATAATAGATCTGAATTGAATTTAGAACCCCTTCCACATCCATGCCGCCCATCACCCCCCCAATCGGATTTCATGCACTCTGTTATACATGTTAAGGCCTATCCAGTCAAGCATTGGTATCCAGATGTTCTG